AGAGATTCTACACATAATATCAAAAGCTGGATCAAAAGCAACAATTGATAAACTAGGTCTCAAAATTTATTACTTTTGTTCTGTGAAAGGACCTGTAAAGAGGATGAAAAATAAGTTAAAGCCTAGGAGAAAATACTTGAAGACCACATATTGGATAAAAAAGTAGTATTTGGATGTATAAACAACTCTTAAAACTCAACCATTAAAAATATAATTAGAAGACAGGCAAAGAACATAAAGGAACATTTCACTGAATATTATGTATAGATTTTAAATAAGAATATGCAATGAGATTTAATATTATCATCTATTAAAAATGCAAATTACAGCCACAGAGAAATGTAACTCACTCTCATATATATATATATATATATATATTATGTATAATTATATATAATCATATTTCACACATATTATATTATATAATTATGCATATAATATATATAGTTACATGTCTATCTATCTATCTATATATACATATAGACATATCAGAATATCTAAATATAGTGAGAGTCATATTCTGACAAAGTTACTGAGAAAATGGTTCATTAATTTATTGTTGCTGAGAACATAAAATGGTACCGCTACCATGGAAAACAATTTGGCAGTTTCTTTAAGCACTAAATATGCAACTACTAAATAACACAGAAATCACACTCCTAAGTATTTATCCCAGATAAATTAAAATGTATGTTCCAAAAAGACTGTATCAACGTCTCCATGTCAACCTTATTCACAATAACTCTTAACTGTAAATAACCCATACGTTTTTCTTTAGGTGAATGGTTATACAAATCTGGTATATCCATTTCATGGAGCAATAAAAACTAACTACTAGTACATCTAATAAATTGAATGAATCTATAGAGAATTGTGCTGAAAGTGAAAAAAGCCAATATCAATGATTGTATACTATATGATTCCATTTATATGACATTCTTGAAATGACTTAACAATAAACATGGAGAAAAGATTAGAGGTTTCCAGGAGTTAAGGAGAGGCTGGGGACAGGAGTGAAGTACTATGGTGTGAAAGGACACCACAGGGGATCCTGTGATAGAACTGTTTTGTAACTTGACTGTATCAATATCAATATTTTGATTATGGTGTTGTAATCAAGTTTTTGCAAGATGCTACATTTGCAAAAAAAAAAAAAAACTGTAAAAAGCTGTTAAAACTCTGCTACTCCTAATCAGTTATGTGTGATTCTGAAATCATAACAAAACTAAATTTAAAAACAAAGTTATTTCTTTCACTAAAAAGAGAAAATGTATTTTTATGCCAATATAATGACTAAATTTGTTGAATCCACTAAATGTGATGCTAGTATATAATTTAAGTATTCAAAATATTGGAAGAAAACATTCCTATAAATTCAGAAACAACAACAAAAATTATGAAGTAAATATGCCTATATTTCTACCTTATTAATTTGAGGACATCTGATCTCTGAATACTTTTCCATTAAAGAAATTTGTTTGCTATTTTCACTTCATATTTTTTAATTTATAGTTTGAATAATAATACAATAATGTGGTACTAAAAGTTTCCAAGGTGAAACATACATTCCAAACCTTTCTCCCCACCATATCTAGTACTACCTCTAACTCCCTTTAATCAAAGTAACACAAAATATCCTAGCTGTATGTGTGTATGTGTATATGTGTGTATTCAAGAGTATATGTGTGCATGCATATACATTCTGATTGTGATTATGTTGTATGGTTTTTACAAGATGTTACTTTTGCAGAAAATTTTATAAAATGCTCACGAGAAGTCTGTTATTCCTTAAAATACTTGTGATTCTGTAACTATCTTAAAACTAAAATTAAAAAAAAAGTCAGTCCATTCACTTAAAAAGAAAGATCCAATATGTATTTTCTCCCCAACCTCCCAACCTATTTCTTTTCACACAATTATTTCTATTCCTCATCTTGGTTTTCCATTTTTTTTAATTTTCAAAATTTTTACTATGAATAGACTAACTTAATTTCTAAGATAACTATGATATTCCTTGATTTTAATATAAATATATTTGTCATTTCTTATAATTTCCTATTATATGTTCCAAAGAAACCCAATTTGTATACTTTGCTTTTCATGTCTGTGAATTCCTAGAAGTGAAAAGGTATGAGCTTTTACAATTATGATAAATACTGCTAAGGGTTATTTATCCAAAAAAAATCTCAAAATTTTCACTACCACAAGCAATAGATGAGAGTGACTACTTCTCTCTGATCACTTCAATATGAGCAATGTTTTTAATCTTTGCCGGTCTGATAGTGAGAAAGCTCTCACAGTAAGCATTCTATTCAAAGACAATAATCAGTCATGTGAAAGGATACTTTAATACATGAATTGCAAGGAAATAAAGTGACCTTCAAGACTAAAAACAACTTTATCCTATATCAAGTTATATTATGCATTTATTCCAGTCTACCCTTGGGACCTGTTATTCACAGAGAAAGAGAACATAATTATTTTTCAAAATTAATATTTTGACTTGTGATTCATTCCACAATTTAAAATCAATATGCAAATACATAAATTAATCAAAAATTATTTAGTGAATACTACCAGAAGAGGAATGTCCTAAGTAAATTGCTACTGTATCTAAAGAGATTCCTGCCATCTAACCTTGAACGTTTTTCATGCATCAGAGTATGCCTGTTGATTTTTGTTAATAATGCCATCTGCTCAGAAATCATTTTAAAATCTACTCAGCATAGGAATACATTAACTATCCAATCATGCATATGTATGCAGCAATAAAGAATTAACATAGTCTTTTAAAAAAAAGAGTTGAGAGGCAAATTGAGAAGTAAAAGAAAGACCAGGGAGCTTTTGATAAGTACTCAGATCTCTTTCAGATCTGCCATACTAATTGCCAGGATGCAAACCCCAGAATATAAAATAATGCAATTTATTATCTATTCACACAAAAGTTTTATTTTAATGATAAGAGAAGCCTATTTTCTAACATGTACATAGTCAAATTTGAACTCTGATCACTGGGTAAATTAATGGTTACAAATATAGAGGTTAAGTTTTAGTAACTACTCTGCCTAAAGGTTTCAATAATTGACAAGGCAACTCATCAGTAATTGACATTTCAAATACCGGCTATCCAATATAAAATTTTATAGTAATTCTTGTTAATTGGATGACAAAGTGCATACCTTCTAGAAACACATATAAATATCTTTCTTAATTCCACTGAAATACTACATTTTGAGTTATACTAGAACTGTAGTCATTCTTAAATTCAGTTTATAGCATGTAATCAGAAAAATTGGAGTGAAAATGGTCACTGAATTCAATTTTGAATTTGGCGGAATAATGTAAAATCGTCTGATTCTTATGGTCGAATATTACGAATTTAACTTGAGAGAAATACACATTCTCTTCAAAGAAATTCAGTCCAAAATCATGTATTTATTAGGTATTTACAATCTGTCAAGTCCAGTAGTAGGTTTGGAAGAGACAGGTTGATCTGTAATCTCAACTCCTTTCTTACAGAAATGGGGATGGGTGGGGTCAGGAGTCTCAGGGGACTGTGTGGGCTGAGAATGATAAGTCCCCAAAGCAAACACTTCGTTCCTGATAGTCCAAAAAGGCAACCAGGCATTGACAAGGATAAAAAAAAAAAAAAAAAAAAAAAAATCTTTTACAGAATGAGCAATGAAGAGCCCAACTGCAGCACATAAAGCAGCCCTTCATTCCTCCCATATTTCTTGGTAGTGAACCACAGGCACGAAGGGTGCAAACCAGGATTGGGTCTACCTTTAAGACCTAGAGGGGAAAACCGCCTGACCAAAAGAAATGGTTGCAGTCTCATTTGCATAAGCACCCAAACACTGCCRACGTCACCACGCCCCAGTCCAGACCCCGCCCGGTCTTACTCTAACCATTCCCTGTAAGGGTGGAGGATGGAAAGGGAAAGGAGACGCTAGAGAGCGCACGCCTGGGGGCTTCACTCAGTTCCAACAGACCCAATGCTGCTTCCTTACTAAACAGAAAACAATCCCGTTCTGGCATCCTCTGCGACTAGGTGGGTCTCGTCTGTCGCGGGGACGCCTAGGGTATTTAGATTCACTCCTATTTATAAAGCTGGAGCGCCTGTTAAGAATGAAAGGCTTTCTCCCTGCTGCACTGTATTCAAAACTGTCTTTTGACCCGAGTACGCAAAGACCAGTCAAGTGAATGAAAGGTAAAAACAACTGGGTTTCCCTTCTTTCCCGTCCGTTCCTTAAAATCCCAACGCCACCACCCTCGCCGCCAAGCTGTCAAATTCCAGGATGCTCAGAAACACTCAAAGTGTGCTTTCTTCATCAACCACGTGCCTTTTGCGCGGCGAAAGGCCCACTTTTGGATCATTTATTGCAGGATGCCTTAAGCAAAAGGGAATTGAGGTCACGTGAAAACACTCTGCCTTCCATAGTCGCCTTCTGCAGTTGCCAAAGAACCTCAAGCGAATGAGAAATGAAGCCCGCTGCTCTCCCCGCCCCACCGCCCACCCGCACAAGGATCAGCTTCCAATTCACCTCGGAAGTGCCTCTCCACCCCGACCCTCCCAACTTTCCTCTCGGACTTTCTGATGTTTGACCCCCATCGTTCAACCCCGACTTGACTTGGAAACCAGTGGGTCTCCGGGAATGTTGTGGGCAATTTCCACAAGGGAAGGAAGGAAGGATGGCGACACGTTTCGACCCATGTGCTTCTCCCTACAAGTGCCTTCTCTTGTGCACCCCCCTCCACCACCATCTCAGACTTGCACAGGTGCAGGACGCAGAGCCTAGGGGGTTGCCAACTGAGCCTGGCAGAGCTCTCTGGGGACTTTTGATCCATTCTCCCTCCTTCACCCCAGGACCCAGCCTGAGTCTTTCTCGGGATCCATCCATCAATTTTCCTGTGGTTCCTGGTCCCCGGACTCTAGGAAGACTAATGGCCAGCCCCACCCTATCTGCAGCGGTGCCTTTAGCATAAGAGTGTGTCTTTACCGTTACTGTGTCTTGACCCAGCACCTCTTGTTGTTTCCACGTCCCAGAAGCAGTCCAGAAAGGGTCTTGTCCAGGTAGCTGTGACAGAGGCCACACAGGAGCTGTCCGGAGAGAAGCAGTTGCTTGCCAAGGGCGGGCTCTGGGACTGGGTTTAGAGGGTCGCTGCCCTGCGGACTGGCAAGGAAAGACTCGTGAGCGCCTGTGTGTCTGCCAGGGAAACAGCACGGGATACAGGCGCGCGGATCCGTATGCGCGCGCGCCCGTGTGGTGTGTGTGTGTGTGTGTGTGTGTGTGTGTGTGTGTATGTGTGTGTGTGTGTGTGTGTGTGTGTGTGACGGAGGTACCCACGTGCCCGGCCCTCTAGTGCTGCGGCCGCGGAAAGGCTGCGGGCGAGAGGAGGAGGCAGCGGGCGGCGACAGGGCTCTGAAGAGCCAGCCAGGTCTCCCGGCTGGGTGCCGCACCTCCCCGCCCCACCACCCCTTGACGCAGAGGCCACTGCGGCTGCCTGCTGCGTCCTCTCTGCGCCCGGGGGGTTGGGCCAACTGGATGCAGGATAGACCTGGGGAGCCCCACGCAAAGCAAAACAAAACRCACCCTGCCGGCTCCACCCAGTCTTTCCCCAGCCCACTCAACTGAAAGGATGGGCACCAGTTGCCCGCCCCCTGCCTTTGTCTCAGTGAGGATAACAATCCTGTTCGAATGGCCCTACCTCGAACCTTGAGGCTATTCTCCTGAAGTCCTGGCCAGCCGTTTACATCTCCAGCAGAAGAAAAGCACTCTGGGCATTTGCTTGTCCATCAGGGGTGGCCTGATAGTACTCAATGATTCTTATAAAGATTCTGAAAGGTTGTTTTAGGGAGACGGTTCCTGTCCTACGTTGGTGCCTCAGTATGCGACTCTTTTCCAAGGGGTCTTATTACCAGATGAAGTCTGACTTTCCTCYTCTGATAATCAAGGCATGCTCATGATTAAGCCACGTAATCTTAAAATAATACCTTTCTGAACACAAAGCTTAGCCTCCTTTTGAAAATGGCTGAACCGTCCTCTAAAGAGGGAATGTGGTCTAGGGATTAAATTTATGATCTTTGAAATTCAAATTTTGAAAGAACAGCAAAATGACCATAGAACTATTATAGAAGAAAGGTACTTGGCAAAGTATCTTTTTCACTTCTAGATGATTAATATTATCATTTTAAAAATACCTTCTGCACTTTTAGGCCTTACAACAATCCCTTAGAGTTTAATGGATTGTATCTAATTAAGATTGAATTAAATAATAAGACCATTAGCAGACAGGTTTTTTATGCAATGAAAAAAAAAATCTGGAAAGAAATCACAAGACCAAAATTTCAGGTCAGAACATTGTTACTAATCCTTTTAAAGCAGCCAAGAGAGCTTTTCTTCAGACTCTCTTCAAATCCCACCTTTTAAAAAAAATTAAATTAGAGTTGACTCCCTGAATTTCCCTCCCCTGCCAGTGGCAAATATGCGCTCTTTGATAGAAGTACCACAGGAAAAAAGAGAAAGTAAACTTCTTAGAGCACATGTTACATAATTTGATTTTTATTTCACATAATGATGACAGGCAAATATTTATGTTGATATACATCATTGTTTTTACATACTCAAACTGAAAGACAGGTACAAATATTACCAATAACAACTAAAAAGAATTTAAGAATATAGGTAATGTTTTGTCCACCATCATCAAGATTCCGTTCATTGTGAGAAGCAAAGTCATCGATATACTTGCAGAAGTGGTTTTCAGTAGTACCAAGGAGTACTAAAAGTATTTCTCCTTTATGCTTTTTTACTGGTGTTTGACACCTATCTTAGAAGCATACACAAAGTTACATGTCACAAAATACTTCTAACCATGTCTTCAGTGATAACTGTTACCTGACGCTGGTGAAGAGAAATAGGAGAGCTTCCTACTGAGTATCTGGAGCTTATAATGTTTAATCTTCTCAACTAATTAATAAGGTGACTTACTAATTTAGAGATTAGAGAAAGGTGATACACAGGAAAAAAAATGTAGCTGTAGCCACACAGCTAGTTCAATGATGGAATGGAGAATTAAACCCAAATCTACTTTCTTCAAACTTTATGTTTTTAAAAAATATCCTGCAAGTTTTTAATGAATTTAGAGATTTTTAATGGGAGGAATGGGTAGAATCAATACAAGGATTAGGCATCTTTGAAATGGAGTGTGGGTGGAAAGACTGTCCAACAAAAAGAGGCTGGGAACACCAATCATGGGTTAAAACATATCCATTTTAAAATTTTAACAACAAGGACTCTTTAAAAAATTAAAGTTCAGTTTGCTAATATCTTTTTGGCTAACAATTATTTAGTGTTTTCTCTATCACACTGTGTAAAATTGACCACATGGTGTTGCAGCAGAAGGAGGCAAGACAGAAGGAGAATAGCAGTACTTGGAAGAATACTTCAACCCACAAATGACAGGAAACCAGTATTTCTGACCACTCTGTGTTTCAATAGTATTAGCAGGTATTGATTCAATTATAATTGTGTGCCTTTGTGATGTGTGAAACAATGTCTATATCTTATTTCTTTTAATTATTACAATAGCTCTTTGATATAAGAATGGTAATTAGCTAAGCACTGTAGAAGAAAAAGCTAAGAATTTGGATGTTCAAGATCACATGGTCAAAAAGCATCTGCTAAATACTATAAATAAATACCTTTCTTTACGCACATAACCTTCCAAATTTGACATCTACTTTTAAACTATTATTACCACACATCTCAGTTGAAAACAGTTCGGATAAAAGATCATTTGAAGGAAATGGAGCATTGTCTTTGGAGGAGGGAGGAAATCTGATTTTCCAAGCCTTTACTACACTAGTATTTCTTAAATCTCTCATATAATTATAATWTTATGAAAAAATTTCCAAAGATGTAGCACCATAGTTCACAGAAACAATTCTTAGATTTAAAAAATCAAACCAMAATACTAAAGGAGAATWCTGAAATCAATTCATATCATGAGATTTTATTTATTCAGTTTCCCTTATGGCTAGTCATGTAGTATATTGTGGAATTTCTTTTTTACATTCTAATAAAATGTTTTCTTATAATGCTCTCAAGTGTAATTTGTCATATAGTTTCAAAATGTTTATGAAACYAAAGTCTGCACAATCCCAAAATATCTACTGAATGCACTTGACCCTCATATCCGTAGGTTCAACCAATGCTGATAGAAAATATTTAGAAAAAAATTACATTTGTACTGAACATGTACAGACTTTTTCTCTTCATTGTTTCTTAAACAGTACAGTGTAAGAACTATTTATATAGCACTTGCATTATATTCAGTATCATAAGTATTTTAAAGATGGTATAAAGTATGTAGGAGAATGTGCCTAGGTTATATGGCAATACTCCATTTATATGAGGGACTTAAGGTTCCTTGGATTTTGGTATCCTCAGGGGTCCTGGAACCAATCCCCAATGGATACCAAGTGTCATGGTTTGGAATGGGAATGTCTGCCAAATGCCCATGTATTGGAGGCTTGGTTTCTAGTCCATAATGCTTTGGGAGATGATGAAGTTTTTAAAAGGAAGAGCCTAGTTTGAGGAAGCTGGATCATTGAGGCTATGCAGTTGAAGGGGATTATATTAAGATCCTGTCCTCTGACTGCCTCTCTCTC